GGGGGGGGGGGGGGGGGGGGCAGGGTTACACGCAAAATGGGCGTGCACGCTAACGGCCAACTCATGGCCAGCAGGCGGGAGCTCTCATGTGTTGGTGGTACCTGGCGAAGACTTCGCGGGTGCGGAGGCATTCTTGGCGCCCCCCCCTGTCGCGGTTTCGTCGTCGTCCTCGTCCGGATCCCCCACCGCTCCCCTGGTCACAGGGGCGGGCGAGGCGGGGCAATACCTTACGCGGAGGGTTCGCTCCACGCCGGGACCCAGCGACAGCTCCTCGATGTAGTTGTTGGCCCGCTGCCCGGCGGCGTACCCTCGCCCGGCTGTGAGGTGCATAGAAGCCGAAATGAAACGATTAGTATCGGAGCATTCGCACCTTGAACTTTTTAATACAAACCGAACTTAAACCATTAGACTTGTTAGCGCTGACCAGCCTATTTCGTCTTCTGTAGGTGAAGCGTGCGCCCCGAAGGGCGTGAAGCGGTGTTGGAAAGGGCAAACGCTTCACATGTGGTCCGGATAGAAGGAGGATGGGCCATCTAAGACTCTGATGCTTGTTTGCGTTGTCCCCAAATTATCCGCCTCCTTGAAAAAAACAAAGAATACCGTGTGGCAAAACGAAAGACTACGACCCCCCCCCCTCGCCGGTTCCCCCCTTGCCGGTGTTTACCATCGGGGTTGGGTTTTCGTCGCTTGGCAACGACGTTGTAAAATAAGCCGCCCCCCCCCGGTGTGTGCCATCGGGGTTGGGTTTTCGTCCCTTGGCAGTGACGTTGTTAAACAAGTCCCCCATCGGTGTTTGCCATCGGGGTTGGGTTTTCGTCGCGTGGCAACGACGCTGTAAATCAAGCCAATTCACTTCGTGAACTCGGCAACCAGGTTACCGTTTTCTTGCTTTTTACCTCTGTTTTTTCTTTGGCCGTAACCATAATGGTGGTCGAGTGGATCATGTTGTGCGGGGTCGAGAAGCCTCACTCCGCGCAAGGGGGGTGGTCGCACCACGTGGTGTTTNTAAATCAAGCCAATTCACTTCGTGAACTCGGCAACCAGGTTACCGTTTTCTTGCTTTTTACCTCTGTTTTTTCTTTGGCCGTAACCATAATGGTGGTCGAGT